GGGCCACAGGCGCATGCCACGTGACACAGCCAACTGGCAACGCGACTGAGGCTAGGTCTCAGAACGCGTCCACTGGCCGTTCTTCCACCTTTGGGAGCAGCCTCATTCCACAGGGAACCAACCCCAACGCCTGCCCCTAATCATGCTCCAGGATGGCCCTGACGACCACTCAGAATCCTCAGGCTTCTCAGAATCCCACAGCCCACAGAACACCTCTCTCCAGTGGAATCCTGTGCTAGACTGCGAAAGAGCAGAAATTCCAATGATAAAAGAAATGCGAACAATAATACAGCACTCACTGAGGGATTGCTCTCGTGCCAGGCATTGGGCCAAAAGCTCTTCTTGCCCCCATCTCATTTGTTCTCCATTCCAACTCAATATGAGGTAAAAATTGTTATTATCCCATTTTACCGATGAGGAAACTGAGCCTCAGAGCGGTTACGTTACTTGCCCAAAGTCACGTACAATGGACTGAACTCCTTAAGGGGGCCTAAATAAGAGGGACCCGCGAAAGCCAGCAGAGCAGGAATGGAGTCAGGCGGTCCATGGCCTCCAAACCTCCCAGGAGTGGTGACCCCCTCTTCCCTTCTCCGGGACCACCCTCTGGTGGACACAGCAGCGGGGCCAGCCCAGGTGCGGCCCTCACGCTCACCTGGAAGCGGCAGGCTTGGTGAGCAGTGCCTGCAGGGTGTGTGGCGTGGAGCCGGGCACAAGGCAGGCTGCCAGGCCCCGGGGGCCAATCCTGCCCTTTGAGGTGGAAGAGGACGCGGGCGTGGGGCTCCGCTGGAGTCACGGCCGCTTCCACTGACACGGCCCGCACGTCCCACGGGACTGGTCGTTGGTGTGGCTCAGTGACCCGAGGGGGGACCACCTGGAGGAAAAACGGGGGTGCTCAACAAAGCAAGGGGTGGGGAGAAGCAAAAACTCAGGCTGGCAGGAGAGAGCCTTTATGGGCCTCCTTTTCCCCCCTCTGGAAAATGGGGAGCTCAGCTAGGGCTGAGCGACACACAGCAGACCTTGGCTCTGAGTCCGGTTAGCCCAGCAGACTCTGGTGGCCCCTCCTTACCTGCTGAGTGGCGAAGGGTGGGTAGGAGGCCCGGAGAAGTGGCTGGGCCCTGGGCCAGGGCTGCAGCAGCAGAAAGGTCTCAGATCGGGAGCCCAGAGAGGAGTTGGCAGGTGGATAGTGGCCCACCTGCTGCACACGGAAGTGCTCGGGGGCATCCAGGAGCTCCAGGGCCGCCGGCAGGTAGACTGGGTCCAGGGGGTCCTGGTCACAGTCCACTGAAGAGGGAGAAGGGGGAGGGATGGTGACAGCTTTAAGGCAGGCAGGGGCTGAACTCAGCTTTGTCCCGGGGCACAGCAGTGGTGGGCGATGGAGGAAGAAAAGGGTTGTAAATGTCCCATCCTCCCAGGGTGTCGGGGGGAGTCTCCCCATTTCACAGATGAGGTAACTGGGACCAGGATTTGAATCTACATCCAGGACTGACTGCCAGCTTCTGAGTCATTCCTTCTTCTGCCTTCCACAGACCCAGGCCTTCCTCACGCCAGTAGAACCTTCCCAATGTCTCCTCCTCCCCCATTCCTGCCCCCTACCTACCTGCCTCTGACACCAAGGCATTTGTGGGGTACAGACCTCCCCAGACAGGGTCTATGTAGTAAAAGATGGTGATGAGGTGAGCTTTGTAGAAGTAGAGACCCTTTCTCAGCCCCTGGGTCCTTGGCCAGACTTGGCTGGGCATCTACTCCCCCTCCCTCTGCATCATCACCATGGCAACCTTGCACTGGTTTCCCGAACTTGCTGCCTTCTACCCCATCCCAGCTGGGTATTGGAGTGCAAGTCTAGAATGGGGGAGGGGGGCGGGAACCATAAGCTTGGGGAGAGAGTCAAAGTATTCAACCAACAGGCAGAAGGGCAAAGGACCCCTAAGACCATATTTGGTTTGTATCAACTGACTATTAGTTAGCCCTAAAAATAATAGTTAACATTTTTTGACAGAAAGCTATATGTTGGCTACTATTTTAAATACTTTACATGTATTAACTCTTTCGGGTTTTGTAATAGCTCTGAGAACTAGGTTCTATTAATATTAATCCCATTTTATGGTTGTAGAAAATGAAGCTGAGAGGTTCAGGGACTTGCCTGGGGTCCCACAGCAGGAACGTGATGGAGCTGGGAGTCAGAGCCCAGGCACCAACCATTACACACCCTGCCTCTCCACCCTCCACCTCTCTCCACCCTGGGCTGCTTTCCCACCGTGCACCCTGTGGGCTTCATTCCCTAGAGTGTGGGTCTCTCCTCCTCTGCTGGGCAGCGCCTCCCTCCAGGGTCAAGAGTCATTGTCACCTTCTTAAGGAAGCCCCCCTTGATTGCTTGCCCTCCCACCAGTCCCCTCAGTCTTCTGCACCCCTGAATTAGTTCTCTTCCTGTCTGTCGGCTGGGGGCCTTGTCTTACTCATCCCAGCATCCCCCATCCCTGGAGAGGATGTTCTGGGAGTCTGGAGACCTATGTTTACGTCCTAACTCTTCCTCGATTAGCCTTGGGTCAGTCATTTAACATCCTGGAGCCTCAGTTTCCTCACCTGTAGAACGAGCGAGCATTTAGTGACACGGTGGACAGGGGAGGGCTTTGTAAACGGCGGTGCGCTGTCTGGAGGAGGGATTATTGCCGCTGCCTAATAGATGTGACAAGGTCCCCTGGGGAGGGGAGCAGGTGGCTGAAAGCAGCCCTAGAGCCAGTTCACTCTCAGCCCCACTGCTGGGCTGGGGGACTTGACGGTTTCAACCTCCTTCTGGGCCCTCCCCAGCAAGGAGCATGTGGCTGAGAAGCTCCACTCCCCGCGACCCCCACCCCCAAGTGTAACAGGTGAGTGACTATGGCTCCCTGGGGGCAGACCCTGGCTTCTGGTCCTTCTCCTACTCCATACTCCACTGCCTGGATAATTACAAGATGCTCTGTGGCCTGACTCCCACGGACTCGCATCACTCAGAGCTCGGCTCTCTGGTGGGGGGAGGGGGCAGAGAACGCCTCGCTCTCTGCGGCATCATCCTCCACCTAGCAGCCTCAGCCCACGACAAGGGCAGTCGGCCTCCCACGCAGGGGCACAGGGGAGGCGCTGCCCCTTCCTCCAGTGATCCCCATACTCAGGAAGGCACCGATGAAGTAATTCCAAGGTCAAAGAGCTCCTTGGGGCAGGGGGAAGGCGGCTGCGGATCTCGCAGGTCCTGGGCAAAGGGGCTGCTTCCCGTTCCGTGGGGGCTGGGTTGATGGTTGCGCGGAGGAGGCCAGGAGCCACGGGGCTACAGCTCTCTGTACCGCAGATTAGGGAGCTGGTGCGTGCGGGACAGGGGGCAGCCAGGTTAGACGTCGCGACTGGAGGGGAAACTCGTGGAAGGTGCGGGGACACGGCGAGGATGGGGGGAAGACGGTGAGAGCCCGGGGACCCCGCTGGCCTTGGGTCAGGAGGAAGTTGCCAGGTTATGCAAGTGAGGAAAGCCAGAGGCGCGAGGCTGGGGGCCAGATCCCAGGGGAAAGACCTCTCCAACCCTCAGGGCACGCTGCGGGGCGACCCGGCTCGGGGTTTAGTCCCAGAACTCGCGGGTTCCCGGCTCCCGAGCATCCCTCGCGCTCGGCCTCTGCTCGGGCCCGGCTGCCCCTCGCCCCGCCCCGCCCCTCCCCTCCCGCTGACCTCTCACGACGTCCAGGACGAGGGCCACCAGCAGGCAGAGACAGGGGCCGCAGGGCCCCCGGGGAGCCGCTGCCACGCGCCCCGCCATCCAGACGTTCATCCTTCCCACTCAAGGGCGGGACTAGGCGGGCGGTTCAGGTGGCCGCGGTCCTCCCGGCATCTCCCGGCCCGACCGGGCCGGCTGGGTCCCCGCCGCCCCCCAATCCGCGGGCCCGCCCGCCCCGCGGCTGCAGTTCCCAGACAATGGAGCGGGAGCTAGAGCTGGAGCAGGAGGGTGGGAGGGAGCGAACGCGGCTCACGGGCTGCCCCTCAGCCCTGCCGGGTCCTAGTGCCCTACGGATGCCGAAGCCCCAAGCGCCCCTGTGCTAGAGGTCGGGCAGAAGGCCACTTCCCCGGGGACTGATTTGCCTCTGCCAAAAGGGACACGACGACGTGTTCGGTTCGCTCCCTTTCGGAAGCTCCCGACCAATGAGGAAAAAGCACCTCCTCTGCCTCACCCCCACCCCACAAGCAGCTCTCCTATAAAGGCATCTGACTCTTGAACCAGAACCAGAATTGGGGGGGGGGGGGGCGGGACGTAGAGAACCGAGTTCGGGGGTGGAGAGGGGATAAGAGAGGCCAGGAGGGCCAGGTGACAACTGCTCTGACAGAGGAAGAGCCCCAGATGCAGGCAGCCCCATCCCTGGGAGAAACCTGTGGGTCTATGAAGAGAGAGGGCTGCTCTCTTTGCTGAGGGAAGGCCTGCCTCCCAGGTCCGGCCTCTGGGCGCAGCCTTGCCCGCCAGGCAGCGTTGGGAGAGGTCCAGAGCGGGGCACCTGGCTGCACGTTAGCCTTTCCTGGGCGGCTTAAAAAGGAAAAACCACACCCAGGCCCCTCCCCGAAATGCCTGATCCAATCTATGCCCCGGGTTGAGAACCGCGGCGCAGAACTCCTGTCTGGCGGGGAAGCAGGGAGGGCAGGCAAGCGTCTCTCTGGCTGGGGGCCAGCCTTCGCCACTCCTGCACACAGGGCTGCACGGGGTACCCTCCTCCCCCTCCCCCACAAGCACACTATTGCCACAGAGCTGGTCAGTCCTGCAAGTTTGGTAATGGGGGCGCGTGCCCTCCTCATTCCTCACACCCCTGGAGGGAAGGGTGACTGGTACCAGCCTTCTTTCGCACTCCCTTCCTTTCTCCCGGCTTCGCACTACCTGACACCTGCAGGGAGAAGTCGTGAAAGCTGAGCAGCTCCACAGAAATGGGTTTAGCTGGAGCGAGGGAACAATCAAAGCAAGCCAGACTTTGAGCAAGTACATCAGATCCGGAACTAGATAATAAAATAGCGTGCACTTTATTTAAAACCAACCAATCACTGCAGCTGTGATTCCATATCCAACGTCAACAGTAAGAACTGGGCATTTCTCTACTCTTCACATCACATGTGGGGCCTGGCAGCGGAGGCCACCCACCTCCACCAAAGCCTCGAAGGAAGCATGAGCGCCCTGGTGGGGAGGGTGCAGCCCCAGAGCACGAGAAGGGAAGGGGCTGTGAGGTGCATCTCTGCTGTCTGCTCTGCGCTCCTCCTAGGCGACTGGTCAGCGAACTCCCTGGTGGCAGCGATGGAGAGAGGGATGGAGAACCGCCCGAGCTGCGCAGACAGGAAGATGAACCCTCCTTCCTCCTTCAGGGTCTCTGAAATCCCCACAGGGGATCTCATGGCCACTGCAGGGTCCTACTTGCAGGCACAAGCCTACAAAGCAGTCATCTTTTGCTCTGGCTGAAGGGAAATCCAGATTCTGAGAGGAACCACTTCCCTCTTGACACAAAGCAGCTACAGGGCAGTTTCCTACATACAGTACGGCAGCGGGCAAGCAGAGGGCCCTGCTGGCTCGGATTAAGGCACTTGTAACAGATTCAATGTACATCCCGGCCCACTTCCCTTCCCCTCAGGCCCCAAATGCCCTGCCTCTTCCCCACGCTGGGCAATGAAGGGGACAGGAGCATGCCCTGAGGGACTGTGGTTTGGTTGGAGTACAGGGCCAGAAGGAGAAAACAAGCAGGAAGGAAGCTGGGGACTTGGCAGGGGAGGAGCTAGAGAAGGACAGGAGAGCAAGAGCGTCGGAGGAAGGCAAGGCAGCCACTGAGTCACGGGAGGCCCCTGGCAGTGATCAGAGGTGTCTGCCGAGAGGAGGTGCAGAAGCTGGTGGGAGGCCCCCCACCTTCCCCTGGCTGAGACAGGGGGGAGCAGAGAAAGGGTGAGGAGAACCAACCCCAGACAGAGAACCACAGAGGACAGGGCCCCTGAGGACCAGTGGGGGGGGTGGTCTTTCTCTCTCTCTCCGCTAAGGGGGCTGGTGCAGAGACAGCGTTCGGAGACAGAGCAAGAAAGGGGCAGGGGGCTGGGAGGAGGGCTGTGCAACCCAGAAGCAGCTCGGCTCTTTGGTATGACGAATGTGGCAGCGTCCGGCGTCCTTCTCACTCCTCCTCCACACTCCGGGGCCCCTTGGCCGCTCGCCTCTGCCGCCAGCGCAGCTCTTCCACCTGGCGCTCCAGCCCCTGCACCTTGGCCTCCAGCTGGACCCCCGAGGCCCGGGTGCCAGTGAGCCGGCTCAGCAGGGCGTAGAGCGTCAGCAAGGCCAGGAGGAGCAAGGCCCGGGTGGAAGGGTCGGGCACTGACCTCACCAGGGCCACAAAAGCGGCCAGGAAGAGGGCAAGCTTCAGGCCCCACAGGATCCGCCCCAGCAAGGCCAAGACCAAGCCGAGGAGCAGGGACAGCAGCCAATAGGCAACCAGGGCCCCCGCTCCCCACAGCAGGAAGGTCTGGACTTGGCCAGGGCTGAGCTTCAGGCCCTGGGTGAGGTGATCTCCTGGAAGAGGAGAGAGTCACAGAATCAGCCAACCTGGTGCCGTGAAAGGAGAGGTTTGGTCAAGAACCAAAAGCGGGAGGAGCCAAACCCCCTCGCCAAGGAAAACTCCTTTCCCACGGGGTCGTGGAGCTTAAATCTCAGCTCCGGTCCCAGCTGACTGTGGGTAGACTACTTCCCTTGGTTGAGCCTGCTGCATCTATGAAATGGGAGTAACTCTCTGGGCTGTGGGTGACAGTTAGGTGAGATGTTATGGCTTAGCATGAGGCGGCGGTTAGCAGCCTGCTCTTATGCTCGTCTCTGGGGAGATCTGGGAGATGCTGAGCAGCCGGGGAAAAGTCTAGGCCCTGAAAAGATAAATTCCCCCAAACAGGAAGGGACAGGCTAAGCTGCAGCTGACCTAACCATTCTCTACCACTCACCTTCTAGCCCCAAGGCATTCAGCAGCTGTGCGGCAACCCCAGACAGAGTGAAGAAGGCCACAGAGACGGCCGATGAGGCCGCCCACATCACCTGAGCCAACGTCTGTGGGAAGAGCAGAGCATGGGTTGAGCCCGTGATCACTGATGCTCTTCTCTTCTGAGTCTCACCACCACTGCCTCTCAGCCTGGCTGAGGGGTCCCTTCCACAGCCACCTTCCAGTGCATGGGGATGGACGGCGGGCCATTTCTCCCTCCTGTCTGAACTGGAACCCAGGACACTTGGGCCCTAATTCAACTGATGTGCTGGAATACTTTGGCAGTAGTAGTAGGTGAACGTGGGCATGTGGGGGTGATCATCCAATCCCCGGAGTAGTCACTCTGTAAAACTGGGGTCCTCCTAGCCTCCCAGGGAATCATGAAGGTGTGTGAAGTAACAGCGGCGGAGGGCTAGGATGTTTCAGTGAAAAAGAAGTCAATCAGCTCTTCTATATTATGCATTTTATAAATGATTGTTTCAGCCATTTAGGACGACCTATCTAAAGTATGCACCAGCAGGCTTGGGATGCCATTAGGCAGAAGGGACAGCCCTGCCTAACAGCCCTGAGTCATCCTCACCGCCACCTCTGAAGGTGAAAGAATGAACTCAGGTCTTGATATTTTGCCAATTTAAGCCTCTAGGTCAGATTTAGACCAAAGCCAGACTCTATAGTCACCGGTGACGTAGGTTGATAAAGATGGCTCATTTCCCAACCTTTCTGGCAAGAAAGGGCAGGAATAAGGCAAAGATGGGGGTGGAGCTAAAGGCCCTGGGGTAGGAATGAAACAATGAGAGTGCAAAAGGCCGGGGCTGTCTGGCTTCATTCTGTGGAACTGGGGGCTCTCTCCATGAACAACGGCTCCTCTGTCCTCAATGCGTGTAGCCACAGCAGGGAACGCCTTCCTTACCTCAGAAACTAGGTGCGTGGTTTCCGGCCCAATCCAGGCATCCAAGGTTTCCCGCACAGATCGACCTATCTGGCTCAGGAGATCAACTGGGGCCTCCCTCTTCTGCTGGCCTGGTGGCACGAAGTCTCGATGGGACTGGGATGACGCTGAGTGGAGGAGGACGAGGGCCGCTAGGAACATCAGGATGACTGTGAACAGATGCTTGCCCCGTGGTGAAGTGCTGCCTGAGCCTGCCATGGCTGGGTCTGCCAGAGAAGAAGCACGGGGTGAGCGGAGGGCCCGAACCGGCCGAGAAACCACTGTCCCGAGCATGACGGGCCCCAGCACCCCGCTCCGCCCCTCCCTGTTAGCTGACAAAGGCAGAACTCAGACGGGCACAACCATCTCATTCACGGGTTCCTCTCTCAGGTTCTTTACCACTTGCGTATTAACTAGCCAGCAAGTATCAGTCAATGCCTTAAGGTGGATGAGAAGATCTCTCTAAGGCTTATTCCAGTTCTAAAACCCTGAAGGCCTGCCTTTGTGTCTTAGGTGCTTTGGGCATAAGAAAAAAAAATTATAAGACTATATGGTTTTGGGCTTCCCTGGTGGCGCAGTGGTTAAGAATCCACCTGCCGATGCAGGGGACACAGGTTCGAGCCCTGGTCCGGGAAGATCCCACATGCCGCGGAGCAACTAAGCCCGTGTGCCACAAGTACTGAGCCTGTGCTCTAGAGCCCACGAGCCACAACCACTGAAGCCCGTGCGCCTAGAGCCCGTGCTCTGCAACAAGAGAAGCCACAACAATGAGACGCCCTGGCACCGCAACAGAGTAGCCCCCGCTCGCCGTAACTAGAGAAAGCCCACGCGCAGCAACGAAGACCCAAACGCAGCCAAAAATAAAAACAAACAAATAAATAAATAAATTTATTAAAAAGAAAAAGACTACACAGCTTTGTCCTCAAGGAGGTTATAATCTACTTAAGATAAAAATGATATTTATATTTTAAAAAACCTTAAAAAATAGCACTCGAATAGGATTACCGCTATGTAACGATGTAAAGAAAAGGGCTCAGTTAGGTGCTCAAATAAGAACCCACTGCACATAGGCCATTCGCTCTGCAGGACCATCACGTGAGGTGGGCGTTATCCTCCTCGCCGCTAAGGGGAGAGAGGAGAAGAAACTGAGACTTAGGAATTAAGCATTTGCCCAAGGACAAAGGCCAGGAGTTAAACCCAAGCTTCTGCTTCCAAAACGCAGAAGTGAAGGTGGTTGCTCATTGGAATCACCTGGAAGCTTCACGAAGTTCTGATACCTCTGCCCCAAGCCCCGAGCTTCTGATGTCACCATCTGGGTGTGGCCTGGGCTTCGACCTGCAAAAGCGCCCCAGGGGATTCCACTGTGCAAAGTTGAGACCCACTGATACAGAGATGACCTCAACTCCCCAGCCCCAACATAGGCAAGAAGTTAAAGCACAACTTTTACGGAAAGATATTATTATTATTAACAGCAATTTAACCATGCGCCACCTATCTCGTTTAATCCTCACGACAACCCATCAGTTAGGTATTGTTCTTATCCCCCATTTTCCTGATGAAGAAACTGAGGGAGGATAAGTAGTAAGCGGGAGAGCCAGGATTTGAATCCAGGTGCATCTGACATCAGACCCACTCACACACAGCACTGCGTTGTATCCTCTCCAACTTCAGTCTCAGAAGCGACTTGGGAAGTCCTACAATAGACTATTCGTGAGCTAAGATAGACTTGACATCTACCGATCCACTCCATGGATTACTGGTGACAATTCACTTAGCCACTCTGTGCTCTGATCTCATCTGTAATGTGATACTGTAGGCAAATTAAGACCCAACAAGTATCGACTCACTGAAGTACGCTGGATTCGGCCAAGAAAAACGTTTTCAGTTCCAACTTCTATTTGCCACCACGCTTGAGGAAAGTCAAATGGCACCAGCACATCCCATTCTCTTCCAGGCTCAGAAATGAACCTGCAGTTCCAGGGTGTTTCTGTGATTCAGACCTGATGAGCAGAGAGGCGAAGCCATGTCGCTGAGGTAGGAGCAGCCAGGTGTCTGAAGTTTTTGTAGTTACCAGGGCACTACGGGAGTCGGCCAGAAATCTGGAGCCATCAGGATGGAGGAGAGCGAAGAGAAGATATTCCCATTCTTGTTTAGTGGGAAGGAGCAGGGTCCAAGAAGGGGTTATAAAAATATCACACTCGGGGCACTTTCTGGCCCAGAAACAGCTGCTCTAAGTCCCTCCTGAGGCCTGTAGGTAAAGCAGGGCTGCAAAACATGCAGTTCATAGGGAACGACCTCAGGCTGGGAAGCCTTCTACTCTTTTTGGCACAAATCGAGAACCAGATGGTTCCTGCCTGCCAGTGGTCAGAGATGAGGAAAGCATAGGTCAGTTCCTGGTCTATCTGGGTCATGACCACACTGGGGACATAAAGAGCAGGGTTGCTATATTGGGCTGGATTCTATATCCAAGGACCTCCACCAGGAGGGATCAGATGTCGTGTCCTCCTTTCTGGAAGGTCAGGGTGACATGAGCTGCTGCCCCCTTGGCAGACGTCTGCATCCTTTGCCAGCCTCGACTTTCAGGCGGCCATTTGCTCCAGTCGAGGGGAGCTGGGGGACCTTGAAATAAACTCTCCACGGGGAGGCTGGCATTGCAATGCCAGCTGACCTTCCAAAGGGCACCGGAAACCAAATCTAACAGGATTCTGGAGTGTGCCCTTTGCAGATAAGAGAGCAGATTACCGGCTCGTCCCTTTCATCCAATTGTTTTCTTTAACAGGATTCTTTCTCATTTCTTTTTTTTTTTTAACGTTTTTATTGGAGTATAATTGCTTTACAATGGTATGTTTCTGCTTTACAACATCCTTCTCATTCTTCAGCAAGAGTCTAACCCACCACCATTACGCCTCCTCACTTCAGCCCGATCAAATACTTTTTTTTTTTTTTTTTTGCGGTACGCGGGCCTCTCACTGTTGTGGCATCTCCCGTTGCGGAGCACAGGCTCCGGACGCGCAGGCTCAGCGGCCATGGCTCACGGGCTCAGCCGCTCCGCGGCATGTGGGATCCTCCCGGACCGGGGCACGAACCTGTGTCCCCTGCATCGGCAGGCGGACTCTCAACCACTGTGCCACCAGGGAAGCCCCGATCAAATACTTTTAACAAAGAGAAGCCATGGTAGTCAGGAGCCGAAGCAGTCTTGAGCTCGAGAGGAAGGATGTCTTAAACGTCTTCACCTCCTGCAATGCCTGACCTCAGAAAAATAGCAGGCACTCAACAACCACAACAAACTGTGTGTGTGTGGTGTGTATAGTGTGTGTGGTGTGTATAGTGTGTGGTGTGTATAGTGTGTGTGTTGCTTTATAATTTACAAAGTGCTTGTTCTTTCACCATCTCATTTAACTCCTATAAGAATCGGGTAAGATACTGCTACTCTCCACGTTTTACTCAGAAAACAATGGCTTGGAGAGATCAAGTGACTTGTTAAAGTACACGCATCGGGACTGGGACTTGACTCCAGAACCCAGGATCTAAACCTTGCCCTTTCGCTCCTTCCACACCTCCACTCTGCCTCAGTAAGACATGGCCCCTGCCCTCAAGGTGCTTAAAGTCCTGCCCCCAAATCAACAATCACAAAGTTAGAGGACTAACTATCCAGACTCCCACGAGGAGGCCACCCACCAGAAGATGACCCACCTGCTGGGCTCACACGTCATGGCTCTACAGCGAGACGTATGAGGACAGCAAAAAATTGGGACTAGACCTGCCACTTTTGTTCAGGCAGCTGCAACGGGGCTCAGGAAGGGACGGGCTGAGCCGGGGAAACTGAACTATGGTAGTGAGGAGCCACATATGTTTAGCTGTGGTTTGCTAAGAGGGCGGGGTGGGGGGCGGTCCCCACACCCCCTGCCAAGGCTCCTTCCTCCCGGTAGCTTCCTCTTGCGCTATGAATCACAACGTGGCAGGAGGAGCAGCTGACTTAGTACCCTCTGCCGGCTCTGATTTCCCCATCATTGAGGGACTTGCCCCTTTGGAGCAGCGGTTCTCGACTCTGGTTGCCCATCAGAAGGGCCTGAGCCGGTTTAAGCTAGAGGGTCTGCCCCACCCCACCCCAGGGCTTCCTTACTCCGACCCTCCCCAGAGAGGGGCTCAGCCTTTTGTTTTTAGAGCTCCCCGGGATCTCTGATGCATAACGGGACAGCTGCCACAAATGGTCAGCAGCACAGGGAAAAGTCTACTTTGGGCAAAGCCCCCAGAGTGCAGCATTGGGCAGAGGACTCTAGACTTCCTTCTGTCCCAAGCTCAATTCTGCCACACACTAAAAGCCACTACCTTCTGTCTTATCACTTAACCTGTCTGAGTTTCAGTCTCCTCAAATGTAAAATGGGGTTAAGCAAGGTTAAGAGTTACTGCAAGGAGTTAACATGTTTCTGCAAGAACTTTGTAAACTGTAAACATCTATAGGAACGTTGCAGTACACAAATTGCCAATATACCACTCACTGCATTGTAGCATCATTTACCAGTTTCTATGCCTGGCTCCCCCATTAGACTTCGAGCACCTCCTCGTCAGACTTAGCTTTTCTTGGAATCTCCAGCGCCTAGCACAGAACAATAACTAATAAATGCTTGTTAAATGAGTATTAGAAGCCCGCCAAGAAGCGGTGAGGGTGGCAATGGAGAACCATGGAGAGGTGCGGAGAGGAGGCTATTTTAAAGTTGATCCAAATATGCAGCGGCCACCCGAAAAGCACAGCTGCGTGGAAAGGAAGCTGATAGACCGGGTGAAGCTGCCCCTGAGAAGAATGAAGTCAGCGTCCCAGCAGGTGGGGGCAGCCCCCCGCTAAACCTCTGACAGCTGCTGCTGCCCAGCAACTGTTTGGGGGCCGGGCGACGGGCAAAGGGGCAGCCTCCCAGGCGCACGACGCCTTCCCCAGAACCCAGCCTCCCCGAGACAGGGTGTCAGTGGCGTGCATGTGCTATTTCGAACCGCGTGTCCCCTGCCAAGCTTGCTGGGTGGCGTCACCGGCAAGGGATGCGGCGCGGCCCAGGGATTCGGGGTACCCCAAAGGGCTCGGAGCGGGGCCGCGGGAGGCTGGGCCGTGGGCGGGAGTTGGAGGCGAGGGGCTCAGCGTTGGCCTCGTCCCCCAGCCTGACAACCACCCGGCCTTGATCGGTCCTCGGGGCAGCGCTGGGAACTCTTCTCCCCGGAAACGCGCGCCTCCCCTGTTACCTACTAGCGACGCCCCCTGTTGCATAGCAACGAGGATCCGAGTCCCCAGTTAATCTCCCCGCCGCGCGCCGTCGGAGCCCTCTCTACTGGTGCTCGCCAGGCCTCGCGGCTCCGCCCTGGTCCCGCCTGTAGCGGCCGCCGCCGCAACCCAGTCGCGGGTACAGCCCCGGAGCCCCGGTCTCGGGTCGCACTCACCGGGCTGCGGCCACAGCTGTTCTTCACGTGCAACTTCACTAAAACGCGCCACTAAAGCCGCGCCACTAAAGCCGCGCCTCAATACTGGGGCGTTGGTTTATCGTCTGCGCACGCGCGAGGCGGGATGCGCCCACGGACCGGCAGGCCTCCCTCACAGCGCAAACCTGGTGCCGGTCAGCGCATGCGCCCTACCCTCTGATTACCATCTTTTCCCAAGCATTCCCACGGAGAGAAGAATGGGGTCGGAAGTTCGAGCTGGGAACGGAAGTCTCTGGCAGGAAAGGGGAAAGAGGTGACTATATCTGGGCTATAGCGTGGGTAAACTGGATCTTTGGATTTGGAGTGGAAGCTTATCCGCCTCTAAAAATCCCCTTGGCATTTCGGGGAATGTAGTTCTCCAGCTACGTGGTGCCTCCTGGGGCATTGTGGGAAATGTAGTTCTAGAGGCGCCTCAGAGCACCTGGTCTTTTGAGAAACTTTTCGCGCTAAAAAAGCACAAAGGGAAAGGGTGTTAGAGGAGCAGTAAGAGACGCACAACCGGGAAAATGCATCCTTTCGTTCTGAGAGCATTTCCACATCCAAACTCTGCAGGTGGCTCCTAAATGTTCTCCGAGTTTTAGAAAGGGAAGGGAACCTACTCCCAGACCCATTTCTATATATATATATATATATATATATATAAAGGCAGCATTATGAGGGGGAACGCAAGGGGATTTGGAATGAAGTGATCTTTGGTCTGCTTTGTGATTCTAGCAGGTCACTTCATCTCTCTGGATCTCCTTGTTTCAACTTTGCTATTGTTAGAAAGAAAACTACAGGCTCGAAATGGAGTCACATTGCTAGGACAAGCCCCCAAACCGGGGATTAATACCTGACCTAGCTGAACTTTCAACCTCCCCCAGAAATGTAGTCTTAACTAGTCGGTCAGGAATTTTTTGGTCAGCACCAATGAGACAATCTGTCACATGGGCTCTCTCTTGCCCCCAAAGGAAGATGAGATAATCTGCTATATAGACGCCTTTCATTCCCCATGGGTACGTTACCTATGCCTAAAATAATCTCCTTTTTTCTGTTTATGACTTCCATGTCCTGCCTTTAAATACCCTTCCCTTACTGTAGCCCTTTGGAGAGATGGCATGCTGCCTGATTCATGAATCTTTTATAGCTAATTAGATCTTTGAAATTTACTGGGTTGAATTTTGTTTTTTAACTGTATAAAGTACTAGAAGGTCCTAAAAATACCTCTTCAATGCACAGTAGGTGTGGCGATTCAATGAAGTAAGGGGGGTGAACATGTTTTTAAAAACATCCAAGTAGCTGTCCAAATGCTTCTATCACATTGGTTGCCATAGGCAGGCTCCCCTTTGATGTTA